CGAAAATTTCCATGTTCTTCCTGGATTTGTTTTGAGACGTATGTTTCCGAATATCCTTACCAATTATTTTGACGATGAAACCTCCAGAAACGTTATTATTGAAATATTGTATCATTTCAATGTATTTCCCACACAAGTTAAAATGCTTACAAACATGTTTCTAAGCGACTTCTGGATCTGCTTTTCTTCTACAGGGGTTCACAAAGGCAGACAAGTTTATTGCCAGTCAAGGTATTACATTTCACATTCTCTTTATCGGGTCAAGTTTTGAAGGCATTGTAGTATTTGATCAGGATGATGGAAATGCTAAGTAGTTCGATTATAAATCGTATAAAAATGTTTAGAATACGTGTGCTTTAAAATTATCAGTCCAATTTATATTTTTAGGACCAAACAAAGGCTCACTGGCGGACATGTGGAGAATGGTGTGGCAGTATGACGTGGATAAGATTATAATGCTTACCAACCCAGTAGAGAATGGAAAGGTATGTACATTTTCTGTTGTCGAAGAGACAAAGATTTAAAGTAAAACTTATTATATCTTTGTGAGGGGAGTGTTGAAAAAACTAAAGGGTGTTTTAAGAAAGCAAGTTGTCAAAGGAGAATACAAGAGTACCGTTAGTTTGCCTTCTGCTTGGTATGAAATAGATTTTTGTTTATTAATTTTCCATTTTTACTTTTCATTTAGTGCGGTAGAAAGATTAAAAAAACAACTTAGTGACTTGATTAAATCGGGATGACTGACTGTTGGTAAAATGAGGACAAAATTAACTTCAAATAATTGTCAAAAGAGTTGTGGTTCTTGTAATTCCCTCCCTATGAAGAGAGAAAATCTACTCCTTTGAGCTCTTTAATTCTACAATAGAATATTCTCACTTGAAACCATCCTGTTTGAGTAGATCAAGTGTCAGCAGTATTGGCCGGATACTGGGTCAAAAATCTACTCCAACATCACAGTATCAGTTGCAAAAGAAAAGACATTCGTGGACTACACAATTCGAGTTTTCCACATCCACCAGGTAATTTACTTAAAAGTTGCTTAATTAATTGACCCAATTCCAAGCATTATCAATTCGAGCCAAAAAATTACGTGTTCCGGGAATATCGGCATACAAATGATTCTTCATTTAATGAAGTCTTGGTACGTTGGTACAGTGTGTCAGGTTAATTATGGAGATCTCACCGTTGATGATTTAGAATTGAACCCCCCCCATTTTTTAATTCATATTAATTAATAAGGAGCTAGGGTAAAGGTTTTATGTTTCTAGTCAGCATAGAACTTCAATATAGGGGTTTTGTCGGATCATTTATGATAACGTTTCAGACTTCTCCACTGGTTCTGGTTACCTCAAACCATTTTCAAGGTGTCAAAATTCTTGCAGGTTGTCAGTGAGGAAGG